TATTTATCAGGGAACTCGATTAAAATACAGACTGCACATGACATCAAATTTGTAATCATTTTTCCACAGCAAGCAAGCATTTTCTGTATTGGATGCAGGTGTTTAAAGCAATAGTGTGTTTTAAGGGCCAGTGCAGCACAAATTCTGGCCTTTGGGATAATGACAAGTGTTTTGCCTGCATAAACAATATATTATTTCCCCCCCGCCCCCTGAGGTCCGCACACACCTAGTTTCCCTCAAGCTCATCATCTCTGTCAGGTTAATCAATAGGCACCGTATGGCAGAGGGTCAGTAATCAGTGTCATCGTGCCTTTAAATCGTGTTGAAAATTTGCTTAAAGCCTGGGCCAATTAACATCGAGATGATGAATGGATGGGTAGATGGGAAGAGCCTGGCGCTCAGGGGCTTTGTGAGAAGGAGATGCTCAGCTGTTGAGCAGCAGACACCAGCGAATAAAATCAGCCATTCATGTGAGCTCAGTCCACCCACTCTTAATGATAATGTCAATCTAGCAAAATATATACACATTGGAGTTGTCATGAGTTCATAAATCAAAGGAGTTTGTCAAAGGCATTCAGATTAACGAGGCAGCAGCAATAACAAGTCAAATTTGCATAGAGAATTGCCCGAATCTCAGTAAATTATGATCCTGTTTTTCATTTGATTATTTGCTAATGTCTCAAGAGGGAGAATGATTATATTAGCATGCAAAATCTACTCCAGAAGTAGAAATCCGAGGTATAGCAGACCAGCACACGATGACAATTAATCAGTTTCTGCATAGTAGCATAAACGCGCAAGGCCCAGAAATGAACTCCTTTTTTTATTATTATTTCTCCTTGCTACTGATCCAAATGGTTCAGCTTGACAGAGACTTTATATTGCTTTAACAGTGTTCTGAATTGTGCCTGCAGGCAAGACATAGTTATGCAGCTATAACCAACCTATCCATCTGCCAACCAGATTGGAATTCTCCTATCCAAGGCTTCCATTAACCCCCACTGACAGCTCCAAACAGGATTAAGAATTTGAAAGCATAAAAAATAGTTGTGCTCTTCATGTAGACACAGGCTTCTCCCGCACCCCCACCTCCCCACACTTGGAAAAAGGCGGCATTTGTACCCTTTTATAATTAGTGCAGGGCAGAACAGCACCAAAGAAAGCCTCCCCTGGTTGGCAGGGGTCTGATTTCCACCACGACGAGCGAGGCGGTACCGAAGGTAGCTCTGCCCAATTGGTAGTCCCTGGGAGTGCATTTCTCCCTGTATTATATCTTGTTCCCAGCAGTGTTTTGCTGGGCTGTGTACACAAAATACTGCATGTCATCTCCCTTCAAATGCTTCAGTCTAGGGATTTGGTATGCATTGTAGCACGTTGTGTTTAGTGGTGGAGGAGGCTTCATGGAGAGAGTTAAATAGTGATAATTTCGTGGTGGTCTTTAAGACAACCTGCCATGGAGTTATATTCTGTTAATTACAGGCTGAAGTTTTGAATGCAAATCAGATTTAAAAGGATCTCATTACAGACAGTAGCCATTTTAGGAAAAAGGAGCTATGGAGGGCAGAGCCCCTTTACCAGAACTTCCTGCTAGAGAGAAATTTTGAAGGTTACAAGAACTACGAGCTTGAGTTTCCAGGCTTTTCTTCCCAACGCTTCCACTGTTATTGTGTGACCTTGGGCAAAACTTAAAAAAAAAAAAAAAAAGAATTACCTGTCTGCAGAAAGGGGGGAGGCAGTATTTATCTCACCAAGACTGGTCTATTTGTGCTTTGGAGACTTCAGCACTTCTCATTTTATCTTGCTTGTACTTGTTCAGAAGGGGAGACCCCTGCATGCAAGCTCGAACACTTTTGGCCAGTTGGGCTTTAGCCTGTGAAGGAGGGCTTGCCTGTGGGATTTAAACATTTTCCCTGATGGAAGGGAGTTTGTATGGCTTTTCAGCTTTCTGTATGCACTGCTTTTCTTCACTTCTTTCACTCTAACAAATTCCATCATTCCTCTGCTACGTATCAAGTACAGTCGCTGCAGATCTTTAATATTCCCGGTGAGTACACCCAATTTACCGTCTGGATACCAAATGCTTTTTTCCAGGTCTGTGCCCGAGACGTGCGTTTCAGTAACCACGAGAGGGTGCTCAGAGTGGTTCCTCCCTTTGTCTGTCTCTCTTGCGGCCGAGAGCATCGCTGAAGTCCTGCTGCAGCAAACCTTATTCTGACCTCGCACATGTTTGTCCCTCCTCCCACCTTGTTCAGCAAGGAGAAATATATAGATGTACCATTTCAGTTGATTACATTATGCTCTTCCCGTGGCCATAGCTAGGTGTTGCCCTATCAAGTGAAATTCACTTCCACACAGCGACAGTTAGTCCTGAAATATGCAGGGTCTTGTACCTGCACCTGGATTGATGGATTTCCTATTCCTGAGAAATGAGCGGGAGTTACAAAACATCTGTGCTTTTTCTTAAGTGTAATGCTTTCCAGTCATTCTGTCTTCACCAAGCGTAACTTACTTGCCGACAAAAGTGCATGAGCAGCGCTCCTCTTTAATAGTCTGCTATTGGAGCTGCTGTGTTGGTGCTGTAGAATGGTGAGACGCCAAGCTGTGAACCACCATATGCACTTGGCAGTCTTTGTCTGGTCTTTGTTCAGCCAACCTCTTAGCCTTGCCACCTATAAAGATAATGAATGCAAAATGGTCCTCTGCTTGCTCTTAAAATTAGATGCTCAGCTTAAAGAAAAAGTAGATAACTTGATGCTTTGCAGTAACTCGAAATTTCAGAGTAAGGGCTGACAGTTCACCAGCAGCACTGATTTCTCTGCTTTTTGGTATTGTTTGAGGGAAGATCCTTAATGGATTTGAAAGGCGAGAAGAATGCAAGATTTCACTGTCATAGAAAGATTATTTGGAAGAGGAAATAGTTTTAACACTTATTGTAGGGAAGGGGGCAGATGTTGAAAAAACACCCAGAAATAGTAAACAACCCCTTCACCCCCCCAACAAAATGCATTTCCTGGAAATGTATGGTAACTCACCCCAGATTCTTAACATTTCTCACATTTGGTCTTTTTCTCCAAAGCACAAAAATTGAAATCCTTACTTGAATTAACCACTTACTAAACTGTATTTCATGAGCAGAAAAAAGCAGCTTTAATGTCTGACCTTCCTTTTTGATGATATGTGATTCTGGCTTGTATGCTTTTACGATCACAGTCCTTTCTAAGCTGGATTTAATGTAATAACTTGGTCCTGGCTGAGACCTCATATGAAAACTTTTAAAAGCTGGCCTCTTACAGCGATTTATCAGGCCTGTTTAGGATTGATTTCCATTATAAAACCCTGGTTACAGCATCCTAGATGTCATGGTGCCTTGCGAGTGCTATATCTTGTTTAAAAAAAAACCCGAACGAAATCCAAAATCACTAGTTGGTCTGCATTCCAGGTGGAGTTTTTTTGTGGTGTTGCCCCCAACACCTGATCTGCCATTTCTCAGCAAACAGCTTCTACCCCTGTCCTACCTCCTGGCCATACCTTCTCTTCTCCTTCACCAGAGCAGCAAACCTGAGCTGCCAAGACGGTGCCTGATCACTCAGCGCTGCGGTGGGCACAGGAGCACACGGCTCTTCTGATGGCTTCCCGCAGCCCGTGTGCTTTCTGCTCGCCCTGCTCTGCCATGCTGGCTCTTTGCAGGGGCCAGCTCCTCCTTTGCCAGCAGATGCCACTTCTGTCTCCTGAGGTGTTGGGCTGGAAGCTGGCTCTGCGAGAAGCCAGGCGGAGCAGTGCTCAGCAAAGGCCAGGTTATTTGGGGGACGAGGTGGGAGAGGTACAGAATGCAAACTTCTGCCTTAAAATACACGCTCCTTAGCTTGTCTGCAAGTAGCTGGAAAACCACTCTTTTCCTGGCAGAGCTCTCCCTAAGCAGTTTTTCTGTATCTCTTTAAAACCTGTTTAGTTGCTCACTACTGAATGCGTGGGAATGTGGCCTAAGGCTATGAATACTGTGGTGAATAAACTGATTTTAGATGTGTGTGTGGGATTCCCCCAAAGCTGGCTGTCATTATTCTGTCAACGCGGTGGCTGAACCCATGCAAAGGAACGCTGTCTTCCAGAGTAGCTGACTTTGGCAGTGCGGACAGGATTCCCACCGCGTACCCAGCAGTTTTTAACCAAATGTTTGCTACAGACTGTGCATATCCTGAGATAAACTATAGCCTGTCTTTACTCTAAAGCAAGTAATAATTGGTTTTAATCATGAGCTTACCAGAACAAAAGTCTCCCGGTGGTCTTTCTTACTCATGATGGAAAAGCCCTCGTATTTCTTCTTGTCCACCTTCTCTTGTCTTAATGATGTTCTTTTTTTTGAGGTGGCAGCTTAAGTTCTGGAGCATCAGTCTTTCTAGAAATTGTATACCTGTGTAGAGTCAGGGCGCAGGAGTGAAAAACATAGCCATGATGTCATACGCTACCTACACAATTTTTTTTTCTCTGAAGGGTCTCGTGACAACCTCTTTCACGAGAATTTAGCTCTATCTTAATTTCTCTATGATATTTGGCAGCCAAGCAGACTCTGTGCAATTAATAATGCTAGGCAGATTAAAAGCATAGGGGCACAGAGAACACCACTTGCACCCCTTAACAACCCTTTGCTTTCAACAAGTTCCACTGTTTTAAATAGTTATTCTGAGGTGTTCAGGAGCACTGGTGTTGCCATGCTGATCCAACCACTGTTTCAGCTTTTGAAAGTGGCTGTTACTGGTAGTTTCAGAATAAATCCCCAAAGCACAGGCTTCTTCAATAGATACCTGCACTGTGGTGCATTGTTGTGTTGAGGAGGAGAAATTCTTTCTCTGCCATAACAAGCTGTTTGGCTTGAAAGTACAAGTTAGCCTCTGGTATACGTATGCATAAAATACTACAGCCTGTGTAGTACAAATACTCTGTTTCTTTTCTCCTCGCAGAGTAATATTAGGGATAAGAACTGAATTAAAGCTTACTTTCTTTCACAGAATTCCTCTGAGAGAGAAGACTGTAATAATGATGAGCCCCCTAGGAAGATCATTCCCGAGAAGAATTCACTTAGACAGGTATGTGATCAGTCTCTTAAAAAATGCAATAAAACTTTCTAGCTATTTGAATCCTTAAATGCTTCTGGAAGCTGAAGTCTGACTTGCACTCATGGAGATCCTTTTTTTTCTCCTTTGAAGTCTGAATAAGTCACATTTTATCTAGGAAAATCAGACACAGGGATTTAGCTTTCAGGAGAGTTTGATGACTTGCTCTGAAGAAATCTAGATTTCTGTATAGTGCAGTCAGCTGTGACTCTCTAGTTTTCATGGTGTTCAAGACCTCTTCAGCTTTTTTCTTCTGTAATTGTTCCTGTCTTGTTTGTAGTCTGTTTTGCCTTGCTTCAGATCAAGAGTCTCAGTGTTCTACAACAATTAAGCTTTTCATTGCTCTTGAAGGTGAATTTTGTTGGAGGTGATGTCCAGGTTAATAACCTGAAAAATGACCTGCTCTTGTTTTTTCTACACTTGTATAAATTACTGATGGGTAGAAAGGAGAAAGCGTGGTCTGATAAAACACAATCTCTTTGCCTTTTGTATATAGTAAAGCAAATTTCTTACCAATTCAAAAGAACCACTTTTTTTAATCCCTGTGGTCAACAAAGGGAGTCTGGCTTGTGATTACTGGGGAATTTAAGTTGGATTTAGTGATATCAGATCCCTTTTCACCTTGCTCGTTCTTCCCACTGCAACCTTGAGGCAGCAGAAGCGAAAATATGTCTATGCCTCAGCTGCCCAAGATTGCTGCCTGGTATATTGGAGTAAAACCATGGATGAACGTGACTTAAGTGAATACCCCAGGTCACACATTGCAACAGCTGAGGAATTGGCACATTTCCTTCTGCGTCTCAGCCACAGGAGCTGCAATCTCAGACAGAGGAATAGGGTGCTACTACACTGCCCCACTGCTGCTACTTCCAAGAGAAATTGTGGATCAGAGCCATAGTAAAGGAAGAAATATGTTTTTGATATAGTGTGCCTGTGCTCAGAGTTGTTGTTGGGGGTGGGGTTTTTTGTTTGTTTGTTTGTTTTTTTAAATAATGTGTTGCATTAGGAGTGATTTTGTGGGACCATAGGTGTCGTGTCAAGGACTACATGTAGCTGAGACAGGTCTGTCTAACAGATGTAGTCTATGTAAGTCTTTTCGACAAGAGGCAGCATGCTAGGATAATGAATGAGGTCTCAGATATTGCTGAGAAAGATTACCTTATTGAATTGATGAAATGTGCTACATCAAACTTAATGTTTCTGGCATTCAGCAACAAACAAGAAGAGCTAGAGGAAGAGGGCAAAGCTACTAGGTCCCTACTGTGTATCCCCCGGATAGCTAAAAAGGTCCACAGCACACCAGAAAACTGTTTTTTTTTTGTCTTAGAACTGTATTTTTGATGGCAAACCTTCAGATTCAACAAGGAAGGGTGTATGTCGATTCTCCAAGAAAAGGTTCATAGTAAGAGATGCTAAGTCAAAAGGATCATGAGTTACGTGTTTTCTGTGCCTTCTGGTTGCACTGAGTCCTTCCTCGTGATTTGATGAAAGAGGAGACAAATATTCAGAAGCAGTATAATACAGACCAAAAGGTGCAGTTTCTTGAGTTGAGTTTCCCTTCTGTTATATTTCAATCTGCAGAAGTATTCTTACTGTCCAGGGAAAGCTGTCTTTCCCACAGGCCCACAATTCTTCATAACCAAGATGACTAGATATCAAGAATACACGAAGGAAACCACTTGTACTGTCCAAATATTTCATGTTGGAAATATTTCACATGGACATTATTTATGTCAAAGATGGTTAGGTGTGATTCAGGATATTGTTGAGATGTTGTATCAGTCTCCATCTTTGTCTCCAGTCTTTACAGTGACAGATGCAGGACAAAATCCTTGGGTCTTCTGATTGCTGTCTGGGGCCTTTTGTGTTGAAAACAGTGTTTGTGGGCAAGTTCAAGATGTAGTCTTAGTCTTAAAGCAAGTGCCCTCTTGTCTAGATCATAGGACATGATTGACCACGATTTTGTGCCTGTTGTAAAAGGAGTTTTGGTTCTCTACATAGACATCAGTAAAGCTGTCTGAGCATTTTGGAAGCTCAGATTGCTCCTCTTCTCTATTAGTGACAAGAAGCAGTGGGGAGTTTTCCAACTCTAGTTGCAGAAATCAGACATGTATGCAGCCATGTGCCCGTATACTCAAAATCAATGAGTAGAGTGATACTTATTGGAAAGATGTGCATCTGCTTGGTATGCAGAGTGGCTACTCTGTCTTACACCTATCCATACTCTGTAAAACCAAAAAGATCTGATCTGCAAATGCAGTCAGAGCAGTAATACACAAAAAGTGCTTTCCACCTTAGTGGAAAGATGCTAACTTGGTAAATATTGAGTGTACAGTTTCACATTTTCTCTCTCTCCATTAAATACACCGCTGTTAAAATTTCATTACTGGGGAACATGGACCTACATGCACAGAAGAATTGAATGTGTGTATGTGGGTAGAGGAGAAGTCTGTTTACTTAAATGGTCTTTCCAGTGAAAGTGCCCGCATATTTAGTACTTTTTGATTAGTTTTGGAAAATTAATGAGATGCATCAGACCACTTCAGGGGAAGTATGATATCTTGACGTGTTCAGTTGCTGACAAGTATAAGTAAAGGTGCATTACCTTTTCTTGCCTTGCTTGCGGTACTGGTATGCAGCCTTATGTTTTCTCAGATGGGTTTGTGGAGCAGACATACCAGAAGGTGGAGATGATAAGGAGGTGTAATGGTTACTGAAGTGTCTGAAGGTGTAAGCAGGGGCTGAAGACACCCATTGCTCAGTGCTATGGAACTCTTACTAGGAGAAATGTCATTCTTCTGTTGATTAAAATGGTTTTTGGAGAAGGTTGTCTTCAGAAGTCTCAACAAATGGAGCTGTGTCCTTGGCGTGCTGGAAGTGGGAGGCATGGCCACTCTTAGGTGCCTGAGGGGCAGCGAGGCAGAAGAGACATGGAGGTGAGCACTGGGAAAGGAAACAGAAAAAGGCAGTGGGCTTGACACTGTTAGCTGGAACAGTGAAAAGACCTAAGCTATGACAGACTTTGAAGAAAGGATGCAAATGTTCAGTTCTTGTTGAGTGCTTGATCTGACAATTAAATTTTGAAGGGGTAAACTGAGTATCATAGTATGAAAACAGACTTCAGAAAAAACAATGACAAGTGGCAAAAGTTTTTGGCAACTTTATTTAAGCTAACAAACGAATTTTCACACTGCAAAGTTATAAATTAATTTTAATAGGCTGATCCAGATGGTCCATTTGGAAAATGGATAGCTTGATCTGTTGAAAATTAAACTAAATTTATCTCTCTCATACTTCAAACTGAAGTAAGCGTGAGAAGAGTGCCCATTAAGTCCAGCTCATACAGATGGACCGGCAGGTCACACATGGGACTAATCTGATTCATTTTAAAAATAAATGCATGAGTTATTGAATCAAGTTCCTGTTTCAAGCCCTGCGTGTGAGCGTGTGTGTGTGCGTGTGCCGCCCTTTCAAAGGGACTCACAAATGCTTCAGTGCCTTTTTAACCTGTGTGTTTCCATTTTAATTCAACTTCCTTGCCAAAAAACATAATTAGTTTTCAGTGCCTATCATTTAGTGTTAGACCCAAACAGTAGATTGATTAGGTCAGGCATTTGTTATTTTAAGGGCTATGTCTCCATTCTTCATTTATGAAGAACATGAGCTCAATAGTCTTGCGGAGAGAGCTGGCCTTTAGAAACCGGGAAGGGGAAGCTCTCTGGGGGCCCCTCCAGCCTTTTAGCTTCTGGGTGTTTTTAACAGAGCCATGAATGCAGATTTGTAAATTTATTGCAGTGCCATCTGTTTTTTTTTGCAGGAACCGTATTATTGTTGGCTCGTATCTGTCTATTGTGGTGGTCACTCCCCGGGAGCTTGCCCTCATAGTCCTAAGGAAAGTGATGAATAGTGAGGGTCAACATGAATGGGTCACAGGGCAGCTGTCCGGGGCTGCCCTGAACTTGATTACCCTGCTGGTTTTTAAAGAAGACGGGCACAATGCAGGTTGTTTAAAACCCTCCCTCCCTTCTCTTTGGTGCAGCAATAATGAAGTGCCTTTTGCTGCTGTGGTTTGTCTGTGGGCGAAGGTGCCTTCTGGGGAGATGCTGGCAGCAGCGAGGCTGCCGCGCCATACCTCCTGCAAACCTCACGTTGGACTCGGCTGTCTTTTTGTAAGCTTCCAGATGGAAGTCTGGGGGAAAAAAAAATCCCTGTCTGTTACCCCATTCAAACAGGCCCCTTAGCATTTTCAAGAATTTTCCCTCTTACCGTTTTGGCACAGAATATTACCTCAATTCACTCTTACGGATTTGAAATCATTTTGTAAAATTACATGTAGCACCTAAGACATTCTCTAGGCGCTGTTTCAAAGTTAGAATAGACTCAGTCTGATCTTCAGAGTTTAAAGCTGATACTCAAGCAAACCGTAAGAAGCAGAAAGTGGTTAAAGAAGGTAGAGCAAAGGAAAGACAAAAAAGTGTCAACCATTTACTTCCAGCTAGTAGCCTCATCCTGCTGCTTAGAGCTCCTCTCCAGGCCTATTTCTCCTCTCCAGAAGTATTTCCACCGTGCAAAGCTGAAGCCCTCTTTTCGACTGGTGGGGAAGGTTACATGATGGGGAGGGATTGAGGGTATTTCGGTTCCTTGCCTCCTTTCTTCCCTCCCTCCATCCAGGGAAGATGCTGCAGTTCAAATTTGCCTTCTGTTGGAGAGCTGGCCACGGCAGGACGTACGTGGTCTATAAAGTTATCCTGGTTACCTCATCTTTTATGCTATTAACGCTTGCTAGTAAGGAGTTGCTAGTTGAAAAGCCTCCTAAAATGAAGATTATTCTTTCTGTGGTTTTTCTTCTTTATTCTCAAACAACAACAGCAAAATTTCCATTTCTTGGTGACACTTAATGCATGTTAAAAAACGAGCCAAGGCGGGTTCTAACCGGAGTCTAAGTTACAATGGGAATGCTGCCTTGTGGCAGA